TTTTTATCATCCTTGCAGAACCTAATCATCTTGGAGAAGGAATCACTCAGTAAATGTTTTTATAAGAAACAACCATTCCTACCTTCTGTGAAGCATTAGAAAAGTATTTGTTTAGGATATATGCCACATACTTGGTGTTTGCAACAGAATAATCAATACAGCTTTGTAATAGGAATTAGTATTTTAAACAACATTTATGTAACCCCATCATTAATAGTTCTAATTTCACTTTACAATTGGATCTGTAAGAGAAACTACCAATGGTAAAAATGAGCTATGTATCCTGTAATACATAACTGCCTTGTGATGTTGGTAACAGCCCAATGATTGAAAATCCTCCAGTTCAAGAACACCAACTTAAAACTTGTGCATCTGTTAAATACAGAACCTTCTCAGGTACAAAATGGTCGGTCTTTGTGCATTACTCAGGTTTGGTGGCCTTTTACTGTATTTTGAGGTGTACAATCATGTATCTCCTTCCTGAGGTTCTGATTTGCATTCATTGAGCCTCTGCAGCAGCTTAAGATGTTTTGCCCATTCATAGGCAGTTTGAGCTTAAAAATGCTTTGCTGTGAAGTGGCACAACTGCATCGTGACTGTGTGTTCTCTGCTTTGGGGCTTGTAACCTCCAGTACAGCCACAGGGCAGACAGAAAGGAGCATTACAGACCAGACTGTGCCACCAACATTCAACAGAGCTCGTGTTACAGAGTTGCTGGTCAAAATGATGTTCAATTCACAGTTAACGGTTTCCATCTTTGTTCATTCCCTTTGTTTCTTGTTGGAAAGGATTGTTTTCAGGACTCTTAAATCTTTCTGGTTTTATTTTGACATTTGAAAAATGAAAGTCTGGGTGTGATATATGTAGATTCCAGTATAAAGTTAGTGAAATTCCTTAAAGTTAGCAGAGGATCCCAAAATTGCAAAATCTCCAGGGTTCTAAGAGCTTTGTTATATTATTTCTTACCAAATAGTAACCACTTCTTTAAACAATTCATGTGGCTTACTCAGTTAACTTGTTTGAAAGTTTCCTGTGTTTTAGAATAATGTGTTTTTAATAACCAGGTCACTCTGGCACAAAAGACACAGCAGCTTCAGTATGCAGCAGATATTTGAAGCTGACTTTGGTTAGTTGTCATGTTTCCTGTTTGAGGCTTGAATTTTTAAACTTTCTCCAAGTTCCTCTGTTTGAGACTTGGTAATAACAGAAAGAAGAAAGCTGGTGAGTCCTTTTCTGGTTTGCATCGTTGTGGCTTAACTTCTCCTTGGTTCCATGAAATATGAGTGGATATGGTAGAGCTGGTTTTAGGATTAATACAGTATGGGCATTTTTATTCTGGGAATAAATATTCATCCTGCAATAGTTTTCATCATCACTGTAGTCTGTACTTTTTCTGCTTCCTCCTGTGGTCTTTCCAATAGGAATTCAAACTATTAGTTGTAAGGCGAGTGATAAAAAAAAAAAAAACAACAAAAAGACAGGTTTTGAGTACAGGTGGCAAATCTTGTCAAGGTTAATAGCCCATTTGTAATGGAATATGGTGACTTTAAGGAAACATAATGATACGTAAATAATCAAATGCAGGGATCTTGCGCTTCATGCTCAACTCCATTGACCCTGAAATGTAACCATCCCATAGGAGCTAGCAGAAAGTTGGTGATAAGAAATAATAAACCTTGCTGGTGACAGCACCATAAATGTTCATCATAATAAACATTGAGAATGGGGAAACATACAAATTAAATATAATCTGGGACAACATAGTACCAAATGCAGCGGTATGATGTTCAGAAATGTCTTTGGGTTTTTTATATCAGTACTAAATGTTATCTGCATTAAGTGTGCTTTTTGGACCAGAAAAGTGGAAAGGTCTATCAAATGGAGCCTGCTCTTTCTATGAGATTGTCTACAGACATGAAGGGATATAAATTAAGCACTTCAAGATTTTAATTTTTAAACCATGGACTGAAAGGAGGATAACTTCCTGATTAAGGGGGTTGTTTTGGCATGTTTTTTTTAAGGTTTGTTTCCGCACAAGTGTATATTCAATGTATATTTTGTTTCTGGGTGGTTTATATTTGAATATATATATATATATATATATATATATATATATATATATAAAATAATCTGTATCCATCATTTCTGTTTTGTTTGTTTTTTTTCATTTGCTCCTGCAGTTTATTGTGGAGTGTCATGGGAACACACTTCTTCCCCAGTTTTTGGGCATGTACCGGCTTACTGTTGATGGAGTTGAAGTATATATGGTTGTTACAAGAAACGTGTTCAGCCATCGTTTATCTGTTTATAGAAAATACGACTTAAAGGTGAGAAATAACTGCTGATGCATTAACTGACAAACTAGTTGAAAATCTTTACTATAATTGTTAGATTATGCGGATGCTTGAATATTGCTTGGAATTTTAGTGAATTAAAACTGTTTTATGTAGGAGCCCCGATTAACTGGTTTACTTCTGCATCTACTAGAAAAATTGAAGGATAGTTTTATAGAAATTATACGAGTATATTTGTATTGTGCATGTTTAAATGGACCATTTTAACCAGGTATGTTTGTTAAATGTAGCTAAAGGTTAAAGGTAAAACCCTTCATGCAAGTGGAATAATAATTCTACTTCCCATAGGTTTTTATCAACATTATGGAAAGCCAGAGCTGATTCTGCAGAGGGCTTTTATAAAACAACCAAATTATCATCATCATTTAAACCAACAAAATGCTACTAATAAAGAACATCACTAGTACAAAAGCTTCATATTTTGTCCTATATTTTAAAAATAATTCAAGTAAAAAAGAGGTTCTTAAAAAAAAATAACCCACAAAATTTCTCTTGCTTTTTTGTGTTTTAGTTTTGCTTCAGAAGATTTATCTGCTTATTGTAATTTTGCCAGTAGTTAGTACACAGTGCTTACAACGCATGCCCAAAATACAAGTCTTGGTCTTTCTACCTGAGGGATTATATTTTTATTTCATCCATAAAGTTTCCCCTTAGAAAACTAATTCTTTCTAATACATATAATTTCTATGCATTGAACTACTAAGTGCATTTGCAAACTTGTTTTAAGATGGTTATTTAGCATTCTAGATTAAAATATTTGTAATGCTACATGCTGCAGTATCCTTTCCTACTCTCAAGTATCTGCCTTGCAACTACCAAGCAACTGGTCAGGTAGTTGGCTGAACATGATTTTTAAGAACTGATTTCGAGATTGTCAACAATTGACTGGTTAATATTTAGCATTATTGGCAGCAGAGCTCACCTGAGAAAGATACTTTTTTAATTTGAGTGAACTGTATGTGTTGTAGAGCATCATCATGCAGTAAAAAAAGGGACAAAAGCATAACAGAAAGTAATGTAAGTGATATACAATATATTCTTAGCATTGTTGTCAACAACTCTTATTTACCTCTCTGAATGCTTTTGTACTCTATTCAATTTGTCCAGCTGGACAGAATTGCTTTAAAGATAAACTTCTCTTTCAATTTACATTTAGCATCAATACCTTATCATTCTTCAAAGAGCCTTCACTGAGCAGATTTATAGTGACACTGCATATATTATAAAAGACACTTTTTCTTGATTTCCATTACCACAGCATCTGCAATTGTAGGTTCAGAGTCCTTTCGTATGTGAATATTTTTGACACCAGCTTAGAGCTCATTTGTAGCACAAGTCTTCACTTGTGTAGATACTAAGAAGAAGAGATCACAAATCAGCATAGGATTTCAAAGGTATTTTTCTGGCTACTGAGGCATTTTATTAAAATTACTTCAATGTCAAATTTGTCAATCTCCCTAATTTTTTGCTATTGTAGATCCACTTTTTTTCCTCCAGTTTGGCTTTCAGCTGATCTTTTTTTGGACCCAGTAGTCATTCAAGTGATCTGTTGGAGCAGCACAGAATACAGTATAAAAGGTGTACTATCAGTAAACTAAAACGTCAGACTTTTACTAGGCTTTCAGTTAACAGTGTAATGCAACAAAAGCCCTGCTTGTGGGACCATACATAGTAACTGAGACGAACCCAATTATCTTTTTTCTCCATCCTTTCTAAGTTTCTCTCCCCAAACAGAGTAAAACATCATATAAAATTATGTGGTTGGGAATCCTCACATTCTTTATTATGACTCCACTCCAGCATTTCTTTACACCTTCCAACAAGCAATGGAGTTAATTTACCCATCTTTCAATGTCCAATTATCATGTTTCTTGTTATTATTTCTTCCAGTGTTATTATGTGATGAATGCTGGGTACTTAAAGGTGTGGTCCTGCTCCAAGAAATTTGCAAGGAAATATATACAGCCTTTTTTTTTTTTTTTTTGTCACCTCCAGCTTACTCAGAAAACTACTAATTTTAGCTTTTTTTTAAAAAAAAGTTACATATCCAAAATGTCTTTGGGAAGCACTGTAAATCTTGTGAATTTGCAGTTGGTCTCATCTCTTAACTTCATGTTGCTGTGAGGTGCTTTGTTCTTGTTTGTGATCTTTTAAGTATTTGTGTGTGTTTATACTGTGTGACATCCTTTTCAAATGTGTATTACATATGTCCAAATAGTTATATAGAATAGGCTATTCCATGACCATACAGCTAAATTGGCATGGAAATATGAGAAGTCCACCCAGCAAACTGAACTTCCAGGGTGATAGTCTCAAAATGAGAATGAGACATGAGTAAGAAGCTGCAGCAGTCAGGAGGACAATAGATGTAGATCACTTGAGGATTTAATGCATCTTTCTTCTCTCATGATACATCTTCTTCAAATGATTGCAGCAGTTCAGCGGCCCTGAGCATTCTACGTACTGTATCACCTTTCTTTAAAACAGCTCTCAAGTTCAGAAGGATGCAGTTCATCCACTTTTTCAGCTGTTATCGTAACATTTTCAAATTAGTTTCTGACATATGCACATTTTTAGATCCATTTTTTCTGTTTCAGGGCTCTACTGTGGCTCGAGAAGCCAGTGACAAAGAAAAGGTATGGTGCATTTCTGTTTCTTTTTCAGTTATCTAACCTGCTAGCTAGTCTCAGGACAAACATAACCAGTGCTGTTCTGCCCGTTTTCTTTGTTTTCTGTCATATTCTCCCCTCTTGATTTCTGCCTTATTCCCTCCTTTATTTTTCCTCTGGTTTCTGCAGACCTTTGAATATTGGTTTGCAATGGTGTTGAGATTTCAGAGGTAAGTGAGCCAATCCTGTACCTCCTCCTTTTCATTTTTTCTCTTCTCTTAGTTTCTTCAGGGCCTGCCCTGTGGTAGGAAAACATCAGGACCTTCTTCTCTTCCCTCCTGCTTCTTCATCTTCTTTCTCTTGCTCTTTAACATTAAGATACATGGATACTCCATGTCAGTTATTGGAATTATGTGACTTGGCACCACTTCTAAAGTGAATGCAAGCATGAACCAAACCTTGAAATTTGAGAACCTTTGGGTACATAAAGCTCATACAAATGAGCAAGTCACTGAAAGGCTTAGATGTGCATGTAGCTATGAGAGGCAGTCTCCGTCAAATTATGAGCTGAAACTTTGCTCTAAAAGGAAATTAATCATTTTATTTTTCTCCATCTATAACTTCAGTTCATTTGGAAAATTTAGTGCTCTCAAAATCAACATTTCATTGAGGTTTCATTGAAATAGCCTGATGGCATTTCAGGAGAGGTTTTTATAGAGATTCTGAAGATAATTGAAGGTGGAACATAGTCTCCATTATCTAAGACTTCTTTAGATTTCCAAATTTGGGGTGAAGTCTAGGAACCTATGACCCTTATTTTCTTAATTTTTCCAAGCACATGCCTTCTGAATTAGCATGAGCATTCAGCAATTCACTTAAAAGACTTCATTTTGTGTTGTCCCCAAATGTCATCCAGATAATTTGTTTTTCTCCTAAGCATTAGACGGACCATGCCTGCCTCTCTTAGTCTTCTACATACCACACAACTGCACTAAGGAGTAAGGGACGTGCAGCAGCTGTCAGCCCTACAGTTATTGCTGCATGAAGAACTGCCAGGTTTTTCCACTTTGTCCTGAGGTATGACCTTCTTCCAGCATTAGGCAACTACCATGTCCCAAATGCCAACTGCAGTTATAATAGTCAGCATTAGCTCTCTTTTGCTGTAGCGGGCCCTCGAGATCACGTCTTGAATGCTCTCTATTCTTTTCTTGTGGTCTAGTTTTGTTCTTGGTCAGTAACACAACTCTTTAACGTTTTTAAAACAGAGGGATTAACTCCTTCAGTGTCTCCTAAATGATACCTGATGTCATTGAAAACCTCTGTTGGTTATTACTAAAATAATTCAGTACTAATTAAGAGGACAGATTACTTGGATGGGACTAATGCAGATTGCAAAACTAATGCTTGGGATAGTAACATAAGAATACTTCATATATTCAGCTATAGAGGAGCTGATACCGTACAGATATTTAGTGCAGTGGGTTTGGCCCTTTTTAGGACTATATCTTATGATAATATATTTATATTTATATTATTACAAATAGTTTAATAATAGTACACGCATACTATAGACACATTGAGTGAGAACCTCAAAGAATCAGTGCCTTGATTTTGTTCCCATGTAAGTTCCTGGCAGAATTACTGTTGAACTTTTTTATAGCTAAGTTGTGTAGTTTTATATAACTGTGTACAACAATTCTGTAAATTTAATGTGAAACCATAACTTCAGTAAGGCAAATAACAAAAATTCCTATCAAATTCAACACATCTAGTCCCTCCCTTTTATTTTGAGTACTTCTGTGAAAGAAATATAAAAACAGCCCTAGTCCCCCAAATTCTTCTTCTGCTATTTTAAATCTCACACATTAATTTCTTTTCAAAGGAATTCGATTTCTTGGAGGCAGAACTGCACTAAACTTACTGCTGTTGTAAGCAGACAATCTGAGGCTGTTAGAACAGCCTTCTGTTACTCATTGTTCCCCTCAAATGCTAATGCAGTGCAGCAGAGGAGCCACAAGCTAGCACTCAGCACAAACATTTCTAAGAAAGGGAATTAATTGGGTAGGCTTCTAAGCTGATAGAGGGAACCACATTTTACAAACACTTTAAGACAGACTGCTAGGGATTTAAGCAAGGGGAAAATAATATTTTGCTTATTACATGGGTTTTGTCTAAGTTTTGTAGTCTGCTGTTTGATTTGAAAGGGTCAAAAGAACACGCTACCCCGTGTCTGTGTTGTAGGTGTTTGAAACATTCATTGTCACTGTGATCTAAAACTGCAGTAGGCACTAGAACTGCATTTGAAGTACTCAAGTGTTCTTAAGACACAGAGTTTAAGCTTGCTTAAAAGGGCTTTATATATTTATATGAATCAACAAGGAAAGTTTGTTTTGAAACTCTCATGGGATATGTCTCTGCACATGTGGCACTAATTTCAGGACCTTGAGGACTGTGTTGACAGAAGTATGTAAATGATCCATTATTTGTAACCCGCAAGTGAGAGTCCTATCGCATGTTGTTTTCACTTCCATTTTTCCTTATGTAGGTGTCGCTATTTCAGACTTCTTGTTTGTTGTCTGGCTTGAGATTCCCACAGAAATCTTAAAGATGTTAAAATGCCTGAAAAAATTTAGCCTGAAAAGTCAAAAGTAAAGGATTTTGGGGGGAGGGGGAGGGGAAGATGGCATTATGGGAAATGGTCTAACGATACTTTGGCATCTCCTATGTCAGAAGAAATTGCTCTGAGTGCTTAAACAAAACCAGACAACCTCAAATACTAGCTGGTGTAGTAACTTACTAGCTACTTTTTAGCCAGAGGCAAGTTAAATCATCAATTCATTAATATCACCCTGAAATGCCATTAATAATAATAGGATTTCAATTAATGGCATTATTTAATTACTCAAGTAAATGTACCCACTGCTATTCACATCTGAAAAACAGGAAGGTAATGAAAGACAGGAAGCTTTTGGTGCTAAAATGTATGGCTAAAATGTCTGGTAATGTGGTAATTTTTAATAGGCTTTTAAGTAATTCATATTTAATTTCAAATGCCAATGTTCAAGTAATCAAATGGTTTTCAGAATATCAAGCATAATATGTAAGCTTCTTTTAAAGCTGAAGAAGTCAGAAAACAGAAGAGCAAGTCTTTCAGTCACATTCCAGTGCAGACTGCAGGTTTTAGATACATTACTTTGAAATGGCAAGCTTGACTAAAATTATGACATTATTGATTCTTTTCCCTGTCAAACTACTCTTTCATCATTTATTCAGTTAATAAAGAAGAAGCAATTATGCAGAAAGATTTAATGGATTATAAAATAAGAAACCAAGAAAAATATTTTTCTACTTTAGTTTTGTGTGTAAAATAGGTGTTAGCATACAAAGAGGTTTTTTAAAGATCAGGTTTTTAGGAAGAAAAGCTGGCTGGAATGACTTTGAGAATGTTACTTTTTTGTCCTCTTTTCAGTTTATTTCCTGTTTGACTGTCTTCAGCTGTTTAATATCCTAACATTGATAAGGAAGTCTGAAACTCTCATTTCAGTCTTTTGTGATAATCAGTGCGGATGCAATCTCCATCCCTTAGATTTCACCTTAATACACAACTCCTCTCATTTACATTATAAGTGATATTTTTAGTAATAAAGGCATCACTTTCTTGGCAACAAGTATCATAACATGCACTTACAGATGTCTTGAATTTTAAAAGAACAGTGTGTTTCAACAGTTGTCAAATTCTGACAGCTGCTCTTTTTTTTCTTTCTTTCTTTAGTTCTCTTTAGTTTCTTTATTTTTATTATTTTAATAGTGGGCATTTTCTATTCATTCCTTGGACAATTTTGCCCTCTTAAGTGAAAGCAGGATAATGCAGAACTCCCCTGGTGGTCTGCCTGCTCACAATTATGCTGTACTTTGCAGGACAACATCGAATTAGCAGTTACAGCTGAGTCTACTTGTACTTACAAAGAACTTAAGCATGTTGCTTGTGAGTGAGCAGTTTGGAAGGAAATTTGAAGAAGACTGAAACCTAACTGAACTAAAGCCCACCATTTTTCATCCTTGAGCAATTTCAGATTTTATTACATGTTTTTAAATTAATCTAAAACTGGTTGTGTTGCCCCCTCTGTGGTATTTGTCATTTCATAAATAAGTTTAAATACAGAAAAATTACAGTAAATACATTCGAACAAAGAAGTCTCTATTGAAGTTCATTTTTGGAGAGATTGTCATCGTTGACACTATGTTACACTTAGAATAACTTACTCTGAGAATTAGAACTGAAGATGCTGCTACATGTAATAAATCACTTCTTACCTTTACTTTCTCCTTCACATAATGCAACATATAGTAATTAACTGATTTCTGAGAGAATAGTTGTGGCTAAAGAAAGCAAGCTTTTAGAATAGGAGCATAGTAACAAGATTATTCAGTCTTTAACTAGTTTTTTTCTTTTGATGTCAGTAGTTAAAATTTCATTCGAGGTAGCGGATCATCCCAAAATCTGAGCTATTTTTTTCCTGCTGTTTTCAAGTTGCTAATTTCGGAACAGCATTTTCTTTACTTTTAGTAATTTCAGTCCTCTTCATGTGCTGACCTCACCCAGCAGGCATGTGAAACATGTCTTAGGTTTCTTTGTGAAATTAATCTCGAGGTTGCATGTACAGAGATTGTAACTTTCAAAACACTGCAGTACAGTACATCAGAAAGATAGGAACAGACATTCAGAGTTAAAATTCTTATTTCAGCCCTCACTTGACACCAATCCGATTATTATTTTTCAAAAAAAATCACTAGTTTGCCTTTGGAGGGGGGTGGCTGTGGAGGGTTGTTTGAGCGGTTTGGTTTTATTTGGGTTGTTTGAGTGTTTGGTTTTATTTGGGGGGGATTGGCTTTTTTTTGTTTGAAAGTCGGTTTTCCATATGTTAAAAGAATTTTTTTTTAAAGAGATGGGGAACATTGTCTTGAATTTTATATGTTGCATGCTCATTTTGCAGCAGGAAGGCATTAACCCTAGGGATAACTCGAGGTGCACTTCCCTAAGCATTGAAAAGATGTATAGTTACTATTTTGGTACATGCTTGAATTCCTAATCTGTCTACAAGGTCCTGCACAACTTTTTTTTGTCCTACAAAAATGGCTGTTCCACTGGCGAAAACCATTCCGGTGTTCCCTGAAACCCCATTTTGGGGTTACGGCTCTATTTCCATTGCCATTTACAGTCTTGTGATGCCAAGTGGAGCAGCAGGCCCTCACTTGATTAGAAACTCCTGTCTAGGACAAGACAAACTGTACAACAAAGATTTGGGCCCAGATTCCCTAACGGCTGGGGGGAAGAAGCAGCAGTCTTCAGCCTTCCAAAGAAAGCTCCAGTACTCTTCCATCTTGTGGATCTTGTGGATTCAGTTCAAAATCACCTGTGCCAAAATACTGCAAACTGTATTTAGCTTTGTATGCCTTTTTTAGAAAATCCTGCCTCCCGTATATGCCCGTGAGCCCAATCAGACTAAAGTTGATCTAACTTACACCTTTTTTTTTCCTTATAATTATGGGAGCCATTTGCTGTGAAAAGAAGCCTGAGGTGTGGAACTCCACTCTTGGCAGATGTTTTATACTGTTCTCAAAAGTTATAAACTGTAAGCCAAATTTTGCCATGATTAGGTGTGTGAATAATGTGACCTGTACCTAGTTCCGAACAAACAATAAGACTGCTGTGCAAGATTTCTCCTACAACCTGATCTTTGCTTTTGTTAGGTGAGAAATTGCTGCCAGGTTGTGAAGACAATTAGTCTTTTCCTTTTTTAGTCTAAGACTTACTCTAATACGTAACTGCCCTATAGCTGGTTTAGCAAGCTTGTCAACATTAGTGTTGGCCATGATCATTATTTTTAGTTATGATGCACAAAAAAACCCTTTGGAAAAAAAAAAAAAAAATCTCAATATTCAGTCAGCACATTAGGATAGGCTGCTGAATTGAGGTGCGCTAAGAAATCTGGAAGAACTATTTCCTTGTTCATGTAGAAATAAAACTTCACCTGGTTCTTAGTTTTTGAGATCTTTTTTTTTCCCAAGAGAAACAATGTGAGTGAGCTGTTTAATCATGATTTTAGTTTTCAATCAGACTTTACACATTCTGTCATCTTAGTCTAAGCAATCTTTATTGCTTTTCACCCTTTTCAAAGGTAGTGCAATCTTCCTGCCGTTAAAATTCTCTGTGACCGTGGCAAACTTTGGAACACAAACCTGAAGTGTGCAATAATAACATGCTTTTTTAATAAATAAATACTTTATATTTGTACAATCTCTTGTGCCTTTCTTGCATCTGTAAGTAGGAAATTAAAAACGATGGGGAGATGGTTTAGAAAGAAAATGTATTATTAATTTAGTGGAATTAGTTTGATGTTCATCTCCTGCGCAGCTCTTAAAATATTTAGTTCTTTAATGATACTAATATGTTCCTTCTAATGAATTACATTCTAGGAGAATCTTTTTCCAACAAGGATTTTGCTTCATTGGAAATATTTGAGACTTCATTAAAAATTAACCGCATCAATTATTTCATTAAAGCAAAGTCTCAATTTTTTTTCGTTCAGACAGTGTTTTAAACTGCTACAATGTGGTTTTATTTGTATTTATTTATTTCAGTGCATAAGAAGAAAATGTGCATCTTAGGATTTTTCAACATGAACACATATATTATTAATTTTAAGTAACTACAAGAGCCCCTCCTAGCTGCATATTTCATAGTTTTTAATTCCTAAATTCACAGATCAATTTGAAGACATGACTTTCTGTTAAAGTACTACTAGAATCACTACTAGTGCTGGCTGTTAGTAATGTTTGAGACTGCAGCAGTCTCCTGGGGCTTCTAATATTCTACAGCTTTAAATAAATAGAATGGTATCACCTAGCACATCAAAAAAAAAACACTCTTTGTCTAATAATACCTAGTAAAAGGGAAGAGAACAGGCTGGAAAGCATCACACGAATGATGTGGTGAGGGCAGCCACTGGCACGTAGCTTTTTAGCTTCATTTTCTCATATGGGGCCCACTGCTTTTTCCTTTTTCTTACCATACCTCCTTGGTTCTGGCTTTTAATTTATGCAGTTCTGCCCTTGCCAAGTCTTCGCAGCTATGGGCATTTGGGTGAAGAAAAATGACCTCACATAAAAGTTCTCAGAGGGAGTACTGAGGACTGGGGGAACCTGCACATGAGGCAGTGAAGAGTGGCTTTTGGGGAGAGCTGATTCACGGCCCTGAATGTTGTTGGGACTACCCCTTTCAGTCTTGTGATGGCAGACAAGAAATGCAGCTGTGTCAGCTTTGCTAGCTCACTGCTATTAAAAATAGATTAGAAACAAGGTTAAAGTGGAGTATGGCACAACTGCCTTACTAGCTCTAGCATTGACCAAAAAAAGGACATTGCTTGTCATTTATGTTTATTTTTACTAAAGGTAGGACTGTCTTCAGTGGAGAAGCATGCTTCCCCCTCCCACCACCCACCAGTTCTGACTGGCTGATGTCCTGCTGTGCAGGAAGTCTGTGGCAGAGCGTAGAGATGAACCTGCATCTCAGCATCTTAACCACAAGCACATCCTTCCTCTTTACTTGCCCTTCAGCTTTAAACAGCATTAATATGGGGGGGGGGGGGGGGGGGGTGTCAGTGTTAATGGATTTGTTAAAAAAACTCTGCCTAGTTTAATAAATAACTTGGATATACTAGGTGGAAAGATAATCGGAGGTTTTGGAGGGGGGGGGGTGTGACTTTGGCTAGAAATGAAGGGAGCTTGGTTTCCTGCATTCTTGCATTCATTATTGTTTCATCTTAAATTAATTCATCCAAATCTCCTCTCCATTCTTAAGCATCCCACGCACTGGATTCCATCCTCTAGCGTTGGCAACATCCCTGGATCCACAGTCCCGCCTCTGCAGAATTAGCCTATATCTATGGGACAGTTTGCTCAATTCTGTGGTATAATCTCTGCAGATGTTAGTCTGGAATGCTTATCTGATGTTTCCCATACTCATTTTCATCCTAAACCACTTACCAAGTAGGCCAGAAAGAAAATCGATGCACACTGTGCAGTAGTAAACAGTTCATCATCACTTCAAGAAGTTTCTAGTGTTGTCTAAGTGAAGTGGCAAAGCGCTGCTGGGTGAATCCTTTCTGAAAGGATTCTGGTATGGGTGAATGGTTGTAGCTCCATCTCAGCTACTTGGGGGGTTTTTCCTTTTATTTTAAATTAAAATAGAGGATCTCTATTAGAGGATAATTTAGTATATCAGAATTTTCTAGATGCAGCCCAGTAATAATTCAGTAGTAACCTAAAAATAGGTCCAGTCTAGGACCTTGCTTTTTTTTCCCAGAGTTCGTAGCTGTCAGGATGCAATGGATTTAACATGCATTCATAACTATTAACATGTTACCAATTGTTTAAGTGGTTTTGAGAAGCAGTTATTGGAAGAGAAGGGTCATTTTTCTAAACAAAAGCAGTGGGATCTTGAACAATTCACAAATTCCAGGTCCAAAAAATAAATTTGGTTAGGGAACTGAGTATTTCAGCTAATTCTGTGCACAGCCCAACAGCAAAAAGAACTTTTGGCCACTGTGAAGATCTGTGAGGGCATATCAGGGTCTGCTGTGATGCTCACATTTTAATGCTGTGCTTTCCAATATGTACATTTTGGAGCAGAGCGAAGAACCTCTGAGATTAGTTTCCTTACTGTGTTGTAGGAAGAAAACAAGCTTTGTGAAAAATACCCTCTCCATTATGGTTATAAGCTATGTATGACTAGTTAAACTGATGGGGGACATTCCAGTAGGCTGATGTTAGCTGCTTTTTATTCCTACCATAAAGACTTTCGGATTAAGAGGAAATTATTTTATTCAAAATACATGGTCATTGAGGGTTGCAGCACTTGGTTGTTTTGCAACTTTTTTTTGTAAAGGAAACCTTTTCTTCCCTACTATTGATTAAAGGCAGGGGGCAGGGAGAGAGGTTGTTCATTCCTCTTAATAAGCCAATTTTTTTAAAGGCTCTGGTTGCAGAAGCTACTATTACTTCTAGTTTACTTGACTGAATACCCTGAAGGAGCTGCTCTTTTGTTTGTTGACTTGCTGGGTTTTTTTAAGTAAACTTCCAGTCACTGCCCTTTGAAAACAGAGCCCATTTGAGAGGTCTTAATACTGAATCTTGCGGTTACTCTATCTGGCTTTTCTTTAATGCTGTTGCAAATCACTTCATGGGAGAGTTAAAGATGAAGCTAATCAACTAATGCTTCAACATCAAGAATATTTAATTACGTATTTGAAAGGCAGTG